TTGCTTACAGAGCTGTCGCTAGTGTCGTTGGGTTCTAGTGATTGCTCGTGCTGCTGCTGGAGGATGAGGGAGCAAGCGTGAAGCAGATCAGGGCAATAGGCATCTGCTAAAAAAGAGAAAAGAAAAGGAAGTGAAGTTAAGAGTCTTTGGCCTACTTCAGCATTAAAAATTTTGGGTAAACATTAAAAAAATTTAAAACAAAATCTAAAATTTTAAATTAAAATATAAATAAAAATATGAATTAGAAAAGACAAAAAGCCCTTAAAAATAAATTGGAATTGAAAAAAATACTTTTCTTTTTAAAACAATAAAATCTAAAAATTAAACAACAAAAAGAAAAAATTATAAAAATAAGTAAATAAAATATTTGTGTTTAAACAATTAAAATTAAACTAAATTGAAAAGAGAAAAAATAGGCTTCGAAAAGTTAAATGATATTGAATAACAAATATTTTTCATTTTAAAACAAAAAAATCTTAAAATTTAATTACAAAAAGAAAAAAATATAAAAACAGGAAAATAAAATAATCTTCAAAAAATTGATTGAAATTAAAATACATGTATACATTATAACTAGAATACTTCTGTGCTATACGCGCGTAGTCGAAAAAATCTCCCATGTAAAGTGATCCGCCCTAATATCTTACACTACAAAACTACAAAATTTAAGAATGAAGAAAAAAGGGGAAAAAATACTACTCGGAAACTCGGATCTCTCGAAGGGCAGGCACGCCAGTACTTTGCTCACCCGGCCATTGACTGTTGGAACAGCGCGAGCAAAGTGATATACAAGTGCTTTCTGTCAAAACAGCTTTTCTCTATAAAAGTTGTCAAGGGAGTTTTTTTTTGTGAGACTTTCGTATTAGAATAAACAAAATCTTTCAATCTGGCCTATTGGCTTTAAATTGTCTTACAAAAGAATTTCAACTATATTAGGATGAATTGCCATGTTCGTTTTAGTTTCTCTTTTCAAGAGTTCCACACTTGCTTAGATTTTGTAAAGTACGCCATGAAATGACGGCCAGATCGCCTTGACGGTGGCGCAAGGTACTACGCTTTAAAAGGCGACCACATTCAGCGATAGTAAATACTTCTTCCTGGGCCAAGCAGATGGATTGAT